AAGTTTGTATAAAAGTAGTTTATTTTTGACATTAATGTGTTTAGATGTAAGGAGAGGATGTAGCTGATGAAAACAACTATTTAGGCCGCGGCGCCAGGTTTGGATATGAGTTGTCCAGGTTAGGCGTCGATCAAGATGGAGACCTAGGTAGCGAACACTTTGGGAAGGCGGTAGAGGGAGGTTATTGAGGTGGATAGTTGGACAGTTTTTGAGTTTGAGAGTGAACGTACAATGTATAGATTTTAATTAATTTACTTTTATTCTCTATTCTTGGTACCAGATTGATAGGAGGTTTAGGTGTTGTTGAATGAAATGAGAGCCAGTTCAGGGTCAGAGAGTAATGAGCTAATAGTCTGCAGAGTCACTGGTGATAGTGTTAGGAGTAGTGGGTTGATCTACAATAAATAGATTAAATAGTAGTGGTGCCGCAACAGCCCCTTGAGGTATCCCTGCACAGATCGGAGATATGTCAGATATTGAAAATCCGGAGCGTACAGCAAAGTGCCTGTCTTCTAAATACGATTTAAATATTAGATAATAATAGAAGGGAAATATAGACTTAAGTTTATAGAGGAGGCCTTTGTGCCAAACTCTATCGAAAGCTTGAACTAGATCAAGGAAAGCACCTGTGCAAATGAGTTTTTTTTCTAACGAATAAGAAATTTGATCCACTAACCGATGAACCTGGTGTATAGTGGAATGATTATGGTAAAATCCAAATTGGGTGTTTGGCTGGTTAGCTTCAATTACTGGCAGGACGCGTTTTAGAACGAGTTTTTCGAAAATTTTGGAAAATAGCGGAAGAAGGCTAATGGGTCTATATGACTCAAGAAAATCGGGAGGTTTATTTGGCTTAGGTAAAGTGACAATTACGGAAAATTTCCATTAGATCGGAAAATATGTTAGCCTTAGCATTGAGTTATAAATGTGTGTTAGTAGAAGTAAAGTCTTCTTTGGCAGTTTGGAAGCTATTTCAGCTGTAATTAAGTCAAATCCTGGGATCTTTCGACGTGTAGAATGAAGAATTGCGTATTCGACTTCGCTAGGTTGAATATGTTTAGGTGGGAGTGTCATTGGTAGAGGGCATGATAAGAAACGGTCGACTTTTTTAATTTGATTTTGGGAAAGAATATTATTATGTGGTTGAAAGGTGGAAAAAAGATGTTGGCGAAATATACTAGTTTTTTCTAGATCATTTATATCTCAGGTACCGTCTGTTTTCCTTAGAGAGGTATTACTGATTGAGAACGAAGTATTTTTCTAGTGGTTTGTCATAGCGAATTGTTAGTTGACGAGAGAAATTTAAGATTGAATGAAGATGTGGATAACGATGTCTAACATCAGGGCCCCAAGACTCAAAGAGGACACCATCATAGACGTATTATAGAGTAGTTTTAGGGCGAAAGAATTGAGTATATTCTAGTTTAAATCTCCAACTCCTAACTAAATTATATATTATATAAGCAACATAAAACAATTTCATTATCATTTATAATGATTTTATTTTCATCTACACTATTAGGTAATAGTATAAATAGGTACAATTACAAAGGAAATATTTTCAATATTGTTAAAAATAAGATTTATAGTAGGTGAAAAATTATAATTTTATAATAATGTATAATTAATTAATTAATTAATATAATAATATAATATTATATAATTAATTTTATAATTTATGTATAATGTAATTACATTATATATATTATACAAAATGAAATTAAATATTTCATGACATTTTCACATAATAATGTCAGCTGTAAGGACGTATGATTTGGAATAAATATGATAAAATTAAATGAATATTAAAATTTAAAATGCATATTTATTAAATTATAATAAAGTAGTACCTCATTAATCCGAATTAATTGGGAATTTAGGTTGTCCGGATTAAATAAAATAATCAAAACTTGTAAATGATAAATTAAAAAAAAAAATGTATTGGTTATTTTATTATACAAGTTTTAATCTAATACATATGTATGTCTAACAATATTAAACCTAGATAATAGTATATAATTTTATTATAATTATTACATACATAATATAGTACATATTAAGACTCACCTTCATTAATCACACTTGACATGCTTCCTGGTTTAAATAAACTGTTAATCTTTGGTTGTCTTCTTTTCACAGTGATTTCTTTAATGATTAACTCGTGAAGATGCTTTAGATGCTCATAATACACAAATAGGTTTTCATCGTTGTTATATTCTACGTATTTAATGATAATGTTTAGATAGTTCAGATAAACTAGCGTAATTTAAGTATTATAAACGGCTATCCGGATTAAGCGAAGTTCGAATAAATGAGGTTCTATTGTACGTTGGATACAATTAAAAAATATTCAAAAAGTACCATAAGTTTTTTTTTTATTTGAAATTTTTGTTTAATAAATAAAACTAAACGGTAATAATATTAATAATAATATTGTTTATATATCATTATTGAACCAAAAATTGAACATTTTTCGTTTTAGTATAAACGAAAATCAAGTTTTTTGGCGGAAACAACTAATGCCTGATTTATATATGTATAAATATTAATAGTTTTTTTTTCTTTTTGTTAGGAGTGGTCAAACCATACTCGATTTGGCCTTATCCTCAAAGAAGTTAATATCTGACTTGATACCGATTGAAAGGACTTTATTGGTTATTGGGAATAAAAATTGTGTGAGTGTTAATATTATTATTTTTATTATTTAAATCTGTAATATATAAATTTATATATTAAATATTTTATAAATATAGACAACGTTTTATAATGATAATAAATTATTTTGGTGCAATATATTACATGTTACTCGTCTTTAAGTAGTACTAGTACTACAATCGGAGATATTGAATTACGTCGTACCACTTCACTGTTTTACAAATTACATTTTCATATTTTAATTTGGAACAATGTTCTTTTGCAACTAGATTTACTAAAAACCAGTTGAGTATATTTACATACTTGTCTACAGGTACGCTCGGAGGGGGTGGAAGGTGGTGCAAATGCAAATGCACTACCTGATAATTTTAATAATTTTAATATTATAAATGAATAATAAAGTATAAAAATTCATTCTTTGTTAATTTATAATTTATGCCCACTATAGTAAATAATAAATACCTATTCTGATATATATATATAGACGAATCATCGTCTGTCGCACCATAGTTTTGGGTACAGTCACGTCTAACGACGCATCTATTATTACATTTATTTTGGTCACTAATGATATTGTTATTAATTTCGTTATCTGTGGTACATTATTATTTATCATGGGTATGTTCAAACCAGTGGAGGCTTTATCATGAATTTTGTAGTTCACTGAACTGCCAAAAAGTTTGGGGTGGATGTTATTTTAATAGGTGGGTACTTGGTTTTGGAAACCAGCAGCGATAATTAGTATAAAATTGGTAATTTAATTTAAATTAGATAAATTGTTGTACCTAATATAACTTTTTGGTAGGTGGGTGGATTTCAAACTTCAAAAATCCGGATTTTTCCCACCACTACTATATGTAAATAAAATATTATGGTGGTATAATTATTATTTTTACATTTGAGTTTTTAACTTTATTCATGTTAACATCACATTATCACATTTAAATAATCATAATATTGTAGGCTGTGGTATTATTTTATTATTACGGGTTACCACTTTCGTAGTCAAACATTACTAGAAAATATATCTTACAAACGAAATTTAATAAAAATTACAAATTTTTTCAACAAAAAAACAAAGAAATAAGAATAAAATAGAAACGTAAGTTTTCTAGATAAATTTATATAGACAATAGATATTATTTTATAACTAGAAACAGAATGGAAAATTAATGGTTAAGTAGTTTAGGTCTGATTAATGTTCATCGATAAAGGTACTAAAATAAGGATTTTTTTTAACAGCAATTAGGAGGCATTATTGATAAGTTTGGATTGAGGTCTAGGCAATTGGCATTATTTTTCAATGATTAATAATGTATTAATGTAATTAAGAATATAAATTATTACTAGAATTAATAAATAAAATGAGTTATATTTTAAATATAGTATCATCATTGATGATAAACAAGATATAGATATAAGTTAATTAGTGTTAGGGGGTTTGATGGGCTTTGCCCCCCCCCCCATAGCTTATATTGGCACCAAAAGTATTTTGCACCAAGTGAGCTACATCTTTGCAGGCGTGCCTGCTTGTTATACATTTAATTGCAACATTTGTTATTCTAGGGTAAAAGCACACTGATACATAAGTTTTTTGACAAAAGTGAAAAACCAAAACCTACACTGGCTTTGGAATATTCATTTGCTAGAAGATCAGGAAAAAGTTTGGTAATTAGATAATATTTCAATATGCTATTAGTAAACACATGCGTTACTTTTACTTTTTTTCATGTCACTATTATAATCGCTAATACTAATATTTATATATTATTATCCCCCCCTCTCCCCGATAACTAAACTCAACTACCTGTTTTCCCGTGAATATCTAAATTGATTCCGTTCCTTTCGGGCGCCACCGTCAAGTCAGTGGCTGCCGCCGAACGCTATCGGTCCATTGCGTACCTTGAGTTGCCTACCTACAAAAGGTACTGCGTGGAGTAGGTAAAATTGCCTATACGACTAATTATAGGCACCCGTCACATTATTTATATTTATATTTTTAAAATCTTATTTATTGCATTGTGTCATTGTGACTGGTCCTTCGATCCTCGTTTAGGCCCATTCAATTATTAAATTAAACTATGATTTATTAAACAATAGCAGCACTTTTCCAAAATTGTTTTCGTAAAAACCTTTTCCTGGCAATTACAAACAATTAAAAAAAATTTGAGCCAAATCGGCCCACCCGTTCTCAATTAATGAAATGTTATACATTTTTGTCTCCATTTTTATATATATAGATTCTGCGTTTCATTCGGTCATTTAGCTGCTATATAATACTTATAACAATTATAACAATAATAGCAGTGGCTTTTTTAAAATTAAAATAATTCTAAATTGTACACGAATATTTTGGATATGATGTAATATTATCTTGGTCAGAATATATATAATATTTTATCGTATTGGTCGTATCGTTACTGGATCACTCCCTCCATGAACTTTTGCTTTGATTTTTTAGTATATTTCCCTATGAATTACACTTTCCCTTCCTTTACCACGTATTCAAATGTAAGCGTGCAAAAACAATTTAATTGTATTTTGCCTGTTTACATTCATTTATAAATAACTTAAGAAATATAATTTATTATTTATATAAAAATAATATTAATAATATTTATTTTTTTTTTTTTTTTATAGACTATTGTGATTTGTATGTTTATGCATTTATTGCACTTTGTGTTTCAGACAAAAGATATTTGTCACGTTTGGGAGCTGGGTGGTGGTCTGGTTTTCAAAGACCTACTATCGGTGATAATCGAAAAAACTAAAGGTAAGCGTTTGAGCGTAGTGTTGGTGTTAGATATGTCGAAACCGGATGTTGTTTGGAGCACCATGGAATCGCTTTTAAAAGAAGTGAAAACTCATTTGAGAAATATACCCGGAATAGAAGATCGCAATCCGATCGATGTTCTAAATATTGAAGTTTGTTGTTTTCCTTACAGATACGAAAGTATCTGCATGTGGATTTACGTTTTGATGTATTATTATTGTATCTTGTATTTTAGGATAAAAAGTACATGTTAACATTACCTGTACCACTGATGATTGTCGGAAGTAAATATGACGCGTATCAAGTACGTGTAGTTCTATTTATCGTCAATTATATATATTTTAATTTTATTTATATAAATTATTATAAGTGATGGTACTCATTTCGTTTCTCGTTAAATTTAATATTTTCTTTTGTTTTCGTACGTTTTCATACATTTGTTTGGTAAAAATAATATTAAATTAATAGTCTAAAAGAGATAGTAGGTCAATGAATTCACCAGAATGTATAATGAGTAGTATTGTTGGTCGTTTAACGGCGAAGTTGTGTAAAAAAAAAACAATACAAAAATAGAGATTGAAAGCCGTCGTGCGTTGTTAACTAAAGGGTTACGGATAGACAACAAATCTGTTTTGTTTTTTCGTTGTACATGGCGAAGAGTAATTATTTTATACACTTAATGTATGTAGATATACCACGTGTTTAGCACTTGTCAGTGGTTACTCATACAATCAAAACTCAACTCTCGAAGAGCGGATTAAATGGTTTTTTAAACATTATTTAGTGAACATTGTTTAAATTATTTTACATCATTTTTTTACTGCTCAACCCGCCTTCAGGAGGTGGAAATGAAAAACTGAAAGAGTCGAACATTAAGTTTAGTGAGCATTTCATTACAGTTTCGAGTATTTTTTAAGGATTCATATCGTTAGATCAAATCGGTTATACGTCGAAGTGAAAATTAGTTTTATTTTTACATGACAAAAATGTTGTGTTATAAGTGTAATTGGTGTAATTTAAGCGTAAAACCGAATAACAGCACACCAACATCGTTTAATTTCTTTCAAGTGCAATAAAAACGTGTTCCTAACTTATTCGATCTGTTATAACATCCAACAGTGTGATATCTTGCAAAAAACAGTTTTTCAGAATTTCGTAGCGATTCGTAGTCGACGTCTAGAGCAGGTCCATTTTCCTCCAAAAACGAGATACCGTTTTCCTCCACACTCCATTTTCTTCAAAAAAAAAAAAAAATAATAATAATAATAATTCTTGATAATTTTCCTCCACTTTCTGTTTTTCTGCAAAAAATAAAATAATAAAATCGTAATATAAATTTGACGAATTTAACGTTTTATCGCATTAAATAGAATTTGATTTTTTGTGGGTTGAGCCGTTCTGGTTTTATGCGCCTCAAATATAGTCTTATTGAAACGAGTATATCGTATATTTGTGAGTCTGTCTCACTGAATAAGTGTAATCATAATAATCAGTGATAAATTATGATACACAATATAACAATATAAGTATATACGTATATGTCTGTATGTTATATGTAAGAATCTTTATTAATCGTAATCAAAGTTACAATATTAAGTTATCGACTGTTCGACTGTTATACACTGCTAGTGCTATCAGATACTTGCACTAGCGTTTTTCTCTAGCCGATAAGAACGCGATCAGAATTTAATCAACGGATAGGTGCAAAATGTGATCCTATAACACTGGCTAAAATATTGGAGGATAATAGACATAATTTTAGTCAAAAATAATGTGGAGGAAAATGGAAACCAATCTTTTTCCTTTTTTTTTTTTTTTTTTTTTTGGAGGAAAATGACTTCGGCCGATATCTACATACGGGAGATTCTAGATTTTTAAGGTTTTATTTATTTTTAGTTTAATAATTGTAATTTTTATTGTTTTATCGAATGATATTGTTAGAACTTCGAGCCTGCTAAAAAACGTGTATTGTGTCAGTGTTTACGATACGTGGCGCACACATACGGAGCTTCGTTGGTTTTCTACGGTTTGAATGACACAGCTCTTGTAAAACAATCCAAAGAAATGATGTCACACTACGGGTTTGGTACTTCTTATCCGTAAGAAATTAATGTAGACATTCATTGCAAAAAATGATGTTGTTCGTAATAATTTTTCTATTCCAGAAAAAAATGCGTATTTGATTCGAATAGAGCACTGATTGTGCCGGCTGGCTGCGATAGTTTTGACAAAATTGACGATCAAAATTCAGTCGGAACCATAAGATCGATGGAAAAGTACAAAAATCTATTCGCTTCCAATTTTAAACAGGTCGGTTAACATAACTACTGTTGATTATTTGAACGATTATGAACTTAAGATTAATATTGAGAAAAATAATCGATAATCTTTAAAACCTGCAATTACACCAGTAGATACTGATAATTATAACTTGTAGCTCCTACATATTTTTTCTGAGAGGTACTGGAAATTTCTATGTGAGCTTTAAATTTGTTTCAGATAACTAAGACGCTAAATACGAAATTTTATGTTGTATATTTTTGCATATTTTAAGTATAAAAACTATTTTGCTTTTTTTCTATTTTTCCAACTTATTTTTGCATATTTAGAAATTTGTTATTTGCTATTTTTCTTTTTTAAGTATTTTTCAGTTCCATAGCATTAAAACATTTTTTCTTAATAATAACAATTAATTATAGTAGTATTAATTATTCATAATTTAACTCATGATAATTAATTAATTCTTCTTTTTTTGGTTTCAATTATATATTTATTTACATCATATAGTGATAGTATTTTAATAATAAGAATTTGCTATTTTTTTTTTTGAAATTTTCTTTTTCACATATTTTTGTATTTTTAGTGCATATTTAAGCACTTTAAATATTTTTATGGGCATATTATAGCAATTATAACTACCATTTTTAGAACTATAAGTTATGAGCCCTGCTGATAATAGTTAGATCATTTTTTAATTTGCTGATGAGTAATGATGTAGTAAGTGCTAAATTATAGAATTTATAATACTTTACTTGTAACATGTATTCATATTTTCGGTTTTTTAGTATACAAACATTCTGTTTACAATACACTTTAACACATTTGGAAATCGTAAACAGAAATTTAAATTATTTACTTAAATATTAGTAATAATAATTACAATTTAAAAGGACAACTCTTTTATTTCATACTTCAGATTCAAGCTAAATTTAAGCTGTATATATTGAGGTATTATTTTTATTACGTAGATACGAAATATTTGAGTTAATTATTTTTGTTGCATTTTAACAGCATATAATATAATTATAAAAAGAGAAGTAGAAAGAAAAAAATAGTGTGAGAGAAAGAGAGAGAAAAAAAATTGGGGGGGGGGGAGTACTTATTACTTTATGTGGTGGTAATACTGAAAACTCAATCACTTCTGCACTTTAAATTAATAAATTCTTGTGGGATACCATGCATATTTATATAGTTAAATAATAATCGTTTCTGCAGATTATTTTTTTTAAAACACAACTGTTTGTTTCTAAATTTCTTGTGTTTGAATAATTATTCGGTAGATACGACAAAATAATGATAATTATGTATTTATTTGTTTTTACTACAATACAGTTTCATGAAAATTGTGTTCTCTTATATTAATTTTTTTTTTTTTTTTTATGAAAAATAAAATACTTCAATTTATTTAATTATTTAAAATTTAAAATAAAAATGTAAAAACGTTAAAAAATTCGAATCGATGAATTCATTTCTGAAATAAATTTGAAATTTTAATGAAAAAAGTGCAGTTTATTTAAAATTAAAAATGTATAGTACACATCTACAATATGTATTTGAGAGTTAATGAAATAGTAGTTTGTATTATAAAATTAAATTGTGTTCGGGGTTATTAAAATATTTATACGATTAAATTTATTAATATATTCTGTTGTATGACATACATGTCATGGATTTCCATGGTATTATCCTTTTTGGTGAACGGTTCATATTATTGGTTTTATGGTGGATTATACAAGAAACATTTTACTTCATTATTGAAAAATATTGCCATCACAAAAACACGTTATACGGAAGGTTATTTGCATGAAAGTAGGTATATGGTAGGTCCTATTGAAATAAAAATGAATGTCTTCAAGGCACAATTCTCGATACGCATTAATCATTTGAGGTGTATGTTATACAATAAAATAAATGTTAGTATAAGATCGTTTTATAATCGAAAACAAAAATTAATCTACCAAATTATTCGTGTAAAGTCATAACATACATGCATACAAGTATATAATTTGGAAGGCAGTTTCAAGTATAAAACTGGAGAAGGTTAATTGATTTATGGGATAATTCTAAAGTATAATATGATGTAACCAATAATTATAAAATTATAAATCTTACTTAAATAATTGTTACTTTGTTTATTATTTATCGTTAACTATTTTAACTATTTGAATGTTATATTTACTGTTACCTTTTATTATTATTTTTTCACCAACCTTTTTTGGTAAATTCAATTAAGTATTACGTAAGAAAATGCTAATGTAAGAATTTTATTAGTTGCTTTAAACTGTAAAAATGCAGATAAACTATATAACTGATTAGATCAAATGTACTGTAGTTATAATTTTATATCATTTAGTACCGATAAATTATGGGTTTGATTTTATGTATAAAATAAATGTAATCAACGGAAGTATTTTAGAAACACGAGGGGAACAAGTTTAATTAAAGAATTAAATAAAGTCCCATGTCCACTTTCTATCACTATTACTGTAGTAAACTATAAATATACAAAAATAAATAAATTATTGTAATGTAGTTTAAATAAAATTTATTATAAAATTTACATTGATATAAATACAAAGAACCACATAGAAACAGGGTACAAAATCACTAATTGATTGTTGTGTCACAATAATACCACGGTAACAGTTGTATTGCGTTTAAGTAATAATAAATAAAATAACTTATAGCTAAATAATATTTTTCATACTTCGTTAGTAACTTATTTATTGTACATTGATTTAGATGGCGTTGGAAGTCAGTGAACACTTGTCGAACTTGGATCCGCTGAATGATCCTAATTATTCCGATCCACTAGTTGACGAATCGTTGAAGCAAAAGCAAGAGGTTCGTCTAATAGCTGTACAACCTACAACGCGCGCCATGATGTTGTTGTAGAACTGAATACATTTTTTTTTTTTTATAATTAAAAACTTATATACTTTACAGGAGCTCAAACTTTTCGTGAATAGTTACGAAAAATTTCTGAACACTAAAGACAGCACTTATAAAAACACTTCTTAAAAAAAACAATGGAAAATTATACAGAACGGAAATCATAATATGTTGTGTATGATTATGATGAAAAAAAAAAATATATATAAAAATAATCATTATGAAATAATTATCAATTTTGCCACTCGCCATTGATAGAGTTTAGACCTGGCTGTCGTGTATAAGTAAAAAAAATAATAATTATAAGAATTATAAAAATAATAATAAATTAAAACGACAACAAGCCGCGGGTTTGGCCTCTTGCCCTCCATTATTAGTCGATGGACACTGCAGTCTAATTTCCCCGATTACCGATCATCCGTACGACGGCGACAACGACTGTGCAGGGCCTTGCTTAGCCGCGCAGGAACTTTTTGAAGTAGAGCGGTATCTTCCTGAGCGGTTGGTTCATCATCCTGAGTTTGATGGCGTAGTACGCGGCCACCCGGAAGAGCACGCCAAACACGGTGAGCCCGATGAACTGGTTGGTGATGGACCGGCCGCTCATTCCCAGATCCCGGAGCAGCAGGTCCGGGTTCTTGTAGTGACAATAAAGGTCAGCCTTGTTGCACGCCAAGTCGGCGCGGCCGTCGCCGAACAGCGACGTCAATATGCCCACCAGCGAGTACCGTAGGAAGCTGGTAGCCATCAGCGTCTCCATCAACGGCTCGATGACCAGCCCGTAACCCATGCCGTACACGGCCAGCGCGAGCATCGGTGCCAACAGGGCTGGCGTCATCACCGCGCCCGTCTACAAAACATACGAAAATTACGTGTAGTGTTGTTACATTTGTTTTATCGAAATTTACGCGGGCTCAAATTCGAACAAATCGTTTGGGAGAGTTATTATATATTGTTTGGGCGAAATATACAATGAATTTGTAATAAAAATATATGGAAATTGTGTGCCTAATGTAAAACCGTAGTATGATTTGTTGTAATCATACAATATGTTTACAATCATTGATTGCTCCACTAATTAGCACGTGCATTCTTTGGTACACAGTAATTTTAAGTTACACACTTTGTCTGACGTTTTCATTATGACTTTTTGCGTCGGTTATTTTAGATTGAAAAATGATTAGTACGTTTATACTGATATGTTCCAACTATATAATATTTAACAAAACGATAGTGTGTTAAGAAAATGCATGATTTATTTTGTCCATAAATTCGCCCAAACGATGTATACGCAAGACTGGGGTACATATTTTTAAGTGTCTCGTCCAAACGAGTTACACTCGTTATATCATCACAGTATAGCGCTGGTTCATGCAACGTGGTTTTTGAGCTAGTGGAGCTAATACGATAATAGTAAAGACGCATAACAGTAATAATTGTCGTCTGTTGTTGATATTTATCTAATGTTTCCGCTTTAATTTCTTTAAAATTGTAAGCCGCCCTTAAGGAACGCATGACTTGCTTGTGGCCTAGCGACAGGTCTAGGTGGGTACCCCTGGGCCGTAGGTAAAGGTTCCAAAACTAGGCACCTACAACTTCCTATTTTGATTATAATTCATCTACAGATACAAGTATCAGCCATCGAATAATATTTATAATTATACGACAAAACTGTCAATCAATATTATATAGTGCACAAAAATACAGTTTAAAGAGAGCGCGTTATTCTTATAATGGTGGATGCTTTTATATAAGTGCGCCAGAGTTAGAGATTTTGTCACCACGCCACTGTATGGTACTACAACTTTTATATATTGTGTTTGAAAAACGAACTTAACGCGCTGTGGATTCGTATATCATACAAGTATAGAAAATATAATTGATAAAGCTATACTTACAGCGTTATTTACTGATGATCCAATGAGGACACCTAATCCTTCGGATATGTAGCCGGTAAACAGTCCAACGCCCATGAATTGGGTGAACCTTATCCACTCTATCGGTTGAGCGGACAAGAAGTATACGATGAAAATGAATAGCGATCCAAATAATAACTGAAAAGTAAAATGAATTTATTGTCCGTGCATTACAATCGCGTTATTGTTATTATAATCGTTTAATCTTGAGATTTTTACTCACCATACTCGGCAAGGATGTAATCATAGACGCGAAGAAGTACGATTTAAGACTGTACCAACGATTAAAATATTCTCGCCGCAGTAATTTGACTTCCGACGGAACTGCAGGATTTGCATGTAGAAGAAAATATAACAATAATCAGACGATAACATTATAATTATGATAACTATGTTTGGCGTTGAAGTTGTTTACTTACACGTGAGTACTGGTCCCATGATGTGAGTATAAACGAAGAAGACGACAACACTGATGCAAAACTTAAAGTTCTCGAATGGGTGGCTACCGTCCAAACCGATCCCGTAGTAAATGCTGCCGATAAGTAACGCTGAAAAAGCATGATGGAAGAACGATATCCATAGACCAATCTGTGCAACACATAACCAATACATAGTATATTTATCAGTTCACAAATACGGTAAATTACGTTCATACACACACATACAGTATTAATATGTATTATATATTAACTATCGCGGTGTACATATTTTAACGAAATCTCATTTTCGAGAACTCTTCCCCAAATTATATAATATAAATATGTCTCATTGATTATATGTTAATATCTGGTAAAGCAAAAACTGGCCTCGAAGTATCATGCAGCAGTGATTGTTATTGTTGTTATAAGATTTTAAACGGTTGTTAATATTTGACCATAATATAATTACCACGAGGTCTCTTTTTGTTTACGTTTGAAGTATCTATGTATATCATTAATATTTCGTTGTATAAAATGTGCATTCCATATTATTAGGTACAACATTTTAATACCGAATAATATCAGTCAATTTACGATAATATCGTTGTTTACTTTAGCCGAAAAATAGTCTATAATGCATTTTATATTTAATTTAAACATAAAATAACTAACTCACCTTATTTCTAATGAACTGTTTGGTTTTCCTTTCCAATAATATGGAAAACTGCGTTGAGAACGATGACGGGTATTCTAAATCGGATTCCTTGATTTGTGATTTGTGATCGTCGAAGACTGGCGGTAATGCAATTAGCGTTTCATTCCGACCTAAATATTAAGTTTTTAATAGAAAAATGCTTATTTCATTACGAGTCGATTCATTACTTACAAAGTTTAGAGGTTGAAACGTTTTTTTCCATCTCGTCTAAATCATCACATAATATCATTTTTCCGTTTTGTATCTCTTTGGTTAGCTCAACTATTGTATCGTTGTCTAACACTTCGAAAACTAAAAATATAAATCATAACTATTATATGTTGCTTTTCGTATTAAATGTATATTTACATAGGACATATTCAGTATTTATACTATAGTGTGTATATCATGTATTTAAATAGTAACTATATTATTTTTAATAGTGTTTTTATTATATATATATATATACACTAGCTGATCCGACAAACGTTGTTTTGTTATATAAATTATTTCTAGAGAATTTTTTGCTATAAAAAAATAACTAATTTAATATAAGTGTGTAAGGATGTGGTATATAAGTGGAAGAGTTATGAAGTGCTGTGAACGGTGACGAAATATAAAAATGAAAAAACATCAAATATTTATTTTTTTAATAATTTATTAAAATTGATCCTTTAAAATTATATAAATGGCTAATTATTATAACATTAGTAAAAAACAATATCAATCCCTAAATGCAACAGAGTGTACAATATTTTTTGTTATCCTATATTTCGCAAACACAAACAAACTGGATAGTTCGAGAGCACACCACGTATAACTGTCCGTGTGAAAAACATGATGTGCTCAAATCTAAGCTTTAGATAGACATCGTTTGGCCTTGAGACTTATTGATAGTCATTGCAAATGTCAATATAATTGGAAATTGAAGGCGTTTAAATGGTATTGGCACATCTGTGGGTATAATAGGGATTCGCGTTAATAATATATTTTCACCTCGGAATTTGCCATTTAAAATGATGGCTTCGATAACATTTTTCATTAATTTTTTAATGACTAATCGTGTGCTGTTGCACAACCGTGGTGGGTTCAAATTACGAAGCAAAATAACCGGAGAACCAACCTTCAGTTATAAATTATGCGGTGGTATGCCTGGGAAATCCAATGAGTTTAAAAATTGTTGGATAATTTACAGTTTCAGTAGCATTGCAAACTGTATCAATAGATTTGTATGACAAGTCTTCTGGTAACAATTGTTATATCTTGAGATTCAATTCGTTGACGTGCACATTTTTTGCTGCTAAAATTGCTTTTTCTGCTACCCACTCATGATTTGTGTATTGTCTGTGTATATTGGGAAATATCTGGTAAATGAGAGCATCTTGCGAATCAATGATTGTGCAGAAATTGGTTGGTAATTGTATATGCATCCCGTTTCATCTGTAGTAACTTTCCCATAACCAATATCTAACAATTGTTTTGAGAATCTTCTGCACGCAGCTTTTTTTGATTGAATTGCAAGTATCGTAATCGTTCGCTCTCTATCTTTACATACATGTCGCCATGAATTGTTGACAAAGCTGTATCCGATATGCATTATAATTCTTCGAACTAACATTTTTATTTGTTTTGGCATCTGTTGCGGGATCTTGTTGTTTAATATTGATGCAATACCCGTCATTTAATACCAAAAATAAAATTAATAGCTTTTTAATAGTTTTTAATAATTTTTAAATAGTATCATTTAATAATTCATTTTCAATTGCACAGTTATTGAGCAGGTCAAAAATTATTAAATTAAACTATGATTTTTTAAACAATAGCACTTAGGAGTATAAAAAATAGATAAAAACATATTTGCAGACCTACCAAATGTATATACAAAATGGCATTAAAATTGGTTAAGTCGTTTTGGAGGAGTATGGTCACATACACTGTGACTTGACATTTTTATATATATAGATTTATTTATTATATATTTTTATTTTAATATTTTAGTGTATTTTTTGAAAGTAATATATACATATAAAAAATAAATTAAATGTTTATAGTAATTAGGTTGTTTGGAAAATAATATTTGATTTTCCATTCTTTAACAAAAAAAAATGTAGAAGATAGAATTTTATATACTAACTTCTGAATATTATGATAAGCAGTGATGTACAAATAGGGGAGGGGATTGAGATAAATCCCTCCCAATGACTAAAAAAAAATTTCAATTTAAAATTGATAAAAATGAAAAATATGTACATTATGAATATTTTAACGTGTGTATAAAATGTAGTATTTGTCAATTATGAGAGAATAACAAGAACATTAGTTTGTCGTTTGAGGAGGTATAAAATAGATGTTTGATATTGTCATAAAAACTATGTAAGTATATAATACCCCCCCCCCCCCATAAGAAAATCTAATGTACGACACTGATGATAAGTATTGATTTATATAGTTTCAGTTAGTTATATTACTAGCTTGTTTTATATCACAGTAATGAATCGGCAGCGGTTAGTCTAGTAAAAAATAATCAACTGAATAAATGTTTAAAAATTATACTTACATAGAAATTACAAGAAAAATAACCGATAGGAATACTTGATGATACTCATTACTTCTTGGTTTATCTTTACTCACCTTGGTGCAATCAGAAATATATAATAAGATTTTAAACATAAAATTTATGACAAATCATAAATTTAGAGATAATAGATACCATAATTAACACAAATGAAATAATGTTTTACATTCAATTAGAATTTAAACAGTTGGTTAAAAAAAAAAATCGAAATTTTTTATAACATTTTTCAAAATTATTAAAATCAATATTATGAAATAAATAAATTTTAATCTTTATACTATGTATTATTTGATATATATTTTTAAATATTTTAATTTTTAATATTATTAATTTATATTATTTACACAAAAAATAATTTTTTTGTTATATAAATATGTCTACACAATATATAAAAAAATAGTGAACTTTTAGACATTTCAAGACTACAGATATAGAATTTATAATCAACAAATATAATGGAATATCTTATTTTCGTGGAACACAAAATAAAGAATAATATATTAAATCCTAAGCCGTAGGATAATTATTTTCCAAGCGAATGACATATAATTTATTCAAATCAAATTTGCGAAGAGAGGTTTTTGCTAAAATAATCCATAAAAGTTACGTAATTATTTATTGATACCAGTGACCTTGAATTTATTAGCCTTAATACACTAATGTAAATAAAAATTGCACTGTAATAATACAAAATATTTGAGTTCATGAGTATAAAATAAAATAACCATTTCAAAATCTTTAAAATAAAAAGTATTGTCAAAAAAAACTCGCGATTTTCAAGAGAATAGGATTAATAACTAAGTTCAAAATTCAGAATGGTGGCTATAAATAAAAAAGTTCATAAAAAATAAATATATTTGCATTTTATACGCAATTAGGCAGTATGATTTTAATGTAAATATTTTCATTTAGTGAAGTAAACATTTTTAATATTAGGAGATGTATTTTCTAATTTAAACATACTAAAAAGTATATTATTTTATGTAATATAGCAAATTTCAAAAAATCACTACTCGAGTTTATACAATTATTTTGACACTTACCAACATATATCAATTTAGATTGCTTATTATACATTTAGTATAACGTAGATTTACGAAGAAGTAAAAGTTATAACGTTTGTTGTACATTCAATTAGTACGTAAATGACTATTTATTTATGAGTTAATTTTTTTTTTAATCATTCCTGTTTCAAATATACAACATGTAAAAACGCTGAACGAAAACGGAAGTGGACTTTATTTAAAATGTAATGACTAATGACCCAATTTAATTGATATTGCAACTTTTTATTGATACCCAATAAATCAAATCTAATCAAATATGTATATGAATCAGATTAATTACAGTCTTCCTATTTAATTTAATAATGCAATTTTTTGCAATTATTGCAATTTTTGTATACTTCATGTGAAGCTAACATATACAAATTATTATTTCCAAACTGATTTTACAAAAAAAAAAAAATATAACTACGACGTACATTTTTACATGTAGTTAAATGTAGTTTAGGATTTTTAAAATTATATTTATCTGGGTTATCCACAAAACTCACAAGTTTTGAAGAATCAAACAGTAATTTACTTAATAGTTTAAACATATTTAGTATAAATATTAAATAAATAAATACTAAACAAATACTAACTAAATAAAAATATTTAGTATAAATATTTTTATAAACATTCCCGGTCCTAATGTAAAAATAGTTAAAGATAAATTAAAATATGTCTTAAAAAAAATGAAGGATATAAAACTATTAAAACTTACTCTGAGTTTATAACAGGAAATCAAAATGTTTATTTAGATATAACACTCAATTTTTAAATTGTTTTAAATATGTATCGATAACAAGCATCGACGTTGAACGTACTTTTTCATTATAAAAACATATTTTAAATAACAGACGATACAATTTTCAAAAACACAATTTAGAGATGTATATAATTATAAATTTTAATTTAAAAAAATGATATATTTTGTAAATATATAAATATCCATAATATTATTTAAGTAAGTAATTAATGGTTATATATTTGATATGATTTCACTATGTAATTTTAATGTATTTCCTTGCAATTTTAACATATTTATACTAAAATTTTGATACATTTTCATTGCAATTTTAGCATCTTTTTAGTGCAATTTTAAAATATTTTTAATGCAATTAAATCCGTTCTTTAGTAATGACTAATGTCTAATAGATTAATGTCTAATACCAATAACTATTTATTTATAATTCTAAATATAAATCGATTTAGTTATTTTATACAATTCGAACTATACTGTAAATAATAAAATTAGTTCATAATATTGGTTCAAACGAAACGATTAATATTATATTTTGAATGTTGTAAAATTGTTTTAAATTGATTCCTAAAAATATTAAGTCAATTTTTTTTTATTAATTTTTTTTTCTTTAGTATTCAATCCTAGGATTGGTTTGTAGCAATTCTCCACTCTTCCCTGTTACTTGCCTTCCTCTTTATCTCTTTATAAGAAGTACACCCTTGGTCCTCTATTATTTTTTGCATATATTCCATTTGTAGTCTTCCTCTAGCATATTTTTCTTCCACGCAGCCTTCTATGATTAATCCTAGCAATCCAACATGCCTTAATACATGTCCAATCCATTCATTCCATTCAATTTTTATTAATATTATACGTGCAGTGGCGTAGCCAGGATTTTTAAATGGGGGGGGGGCTAACCACTTTTTTTGGATAAGTAAGGTAAGAGAGGATATGAGAATTCACTCTTACCCCCCCCCCCCATCTATCACCAAGTTTCTAAACGCATTTTAGTAGTAGCATTTTAGTATAGTTTTAAAAATATTGATTAATATATAATTTATAATAATAATAATAATTTTGGTTTCAGTGTTCAGTCACTTGCTCCACTCTGACAGCTGCATTCTCTTAGGCGAATTTCTGGCAAATTCAGTTATTATTTCACTTTCATGGAATTGCTCTTTTTTATTTATATTAGCCATAGCTAATCCATTCAGTCTGTTTTCCGACATAGTGCTTCTTAAAAAAAATTTTAAGCGATTAAGTGCTGAAAACGTTCTTTCCGGAGTGAAAGAGGTAACTGGTAACGTGGCGAATAATTGTAAAAGTATTTTAATGTTAGGTCGAAGATTGGTGCGATGAGAGAGTGAATCAAGAGCAGAATTCGGTTTTGGAATAGTATTTTGACTCCATTGTTGCCTCCATATGAACAGGTCAGCATTGATTGTAGATGAGGTATCATCATGGAAATCTTGGACATATATTTTAGCAGCTTTTATAATATTTTTATCGTCATACATATTTAAATTGGCCGGAATAAGTCCTTCAAGTGGCATAACATCAATAAGCCTTTGATTAAAACGAGCATTGATTCTATTAAATAGTCAAGATACATTATACATATACACACGGCCCATGGGGGAAGCTATAGCCCCCTTAGCCCCTTACCCCCCCTTGGCTACGCCACTGTATACGTGTAAATAATATAAATGTATCTAGGACTATTGTGACTTATAAATTGTGTGCGTGACTCATGGTATAGATATAATCTATTATAAATTGTGGTGAACTCATAAGCATGTGTTGAGTTTCATATTAGAAGCGGTATACCTGCCTTTTTATCTGGCTTATAGATACCTATTACAAACATTTTCTTTTTATATGATATACTTTTTAAGAAAAATAACTTTTGATGCAAATTTGATGAAATTAAATTTAAGAAACCGTTTTTATATCTATATAATCTTATAAATAAACTCATTCATTCGATTATAGTTTGCAACCACAAGTTAAATCTAAAGCAACTAATTCTACTCTAATCTCGTACAAATTTTAATATGTATACAAAAATTTTAACGATCATAGAGAGGGTCGGATAATACGCGCATGTACCATTTTCACCAAAATCCGGTTCCTTGACTTACGCATAGCCCTATATCATCAGAAATGAAAAAGGTATGATTCTCGTTTCCGCCAAAATTTATTTTTGTGATAAGACGTTTGGGAAACATGTACAATTGTTAACTATTCTTTCATTATAAATTTTAATAAAAGTAGATAATAATAATATATTAGTCGAATATAGGTATAATAGTATTAGAGTTTTTAAAGTATTACATGATTTCATATTATAATATGTCCATTATATTTAACTATTTATGAAGTAAAAAACAAGGATAGGTCAAATATTTTCTCGATAGAGTTTTGAAAAAATACATATCGTCATAAATAAATAAATAATTAAATAAATATATTTATTTTACTCGTAGATAAAAAACATACTTTTCGTTGTAAATATTACTTTTTCTTTTTCAAAAATATTGGCCCGACAATTTTTCATAAAACATCTCCACCGAGTTACATTTGTTTGTGACGTATAATCAAAAACATATTTAAATCCATCAAAAATCAACATTTTTTTACATCATTTACTTACAACAAATTCCATTTTAAGAACGGTAAGTAAGTAAGAACGTTTAAGTGCTCTGGTGACAAAAAGAACAGATACTGAATGAAAACATAAGAATTTAACATTTGTCAGATAATTATTGTGTGCGAATTATAAATAAACTATGATACAGTATATCGAACAGTGTACCGTTATTATTAACCGTTATTATCGACGGTTTTCAGTGTATACATTAGAAATGTCTGTTACACATACCATAATATAAATTCAATATTACTTAAAAATTAAAACCAATGGTTTCCGAACTTTTTTGGTGGAAATGGCTTTTGGCAGAAACGGGAAACTCCGTTTATTCATATATTATATGATATTATCATTAAGGTTCTTTAAGCTTTTATAAAACATGAGTTTAATATAAGCTAATACACTAGATACTGTGAGAAATTTTTTAATCGTGGTATTGTATTTAAGTAGGTACGAGTAGTTGTAGAGAGTAAAATCACGAAAGAACTACAAGGACATTTATCCCCGCTATGTGTGAGTTAAGATTAAAATTCCATAAAAATTAAAATTGTGCTGATTTAATTCAAGGTTTCTATGACACTTATTAGCTGATCTGATGGAATAAATAAATCCATCTCGAAATTAGGGCATCCCAGTTTTGTTATAATCAATAATTACGAAGTGAAAAATCGTAATTATCACGGTATTTTTCATAAAAGTTTAGTACATTAATTGGAACGAGAAATAACTAGAAGTAGTTCTCTATTCAAAACACAATTAACTCTCCGTAGTTAATTGTGTTGACTTTGATTGAAAAAAAGAATACGATGAGTTGTTTCTTCATCAATGCAGTTGCTAATTTGCGTTTGAAAATTTCATTTAGAGGTTTTATGTTTTCTTCGGTCCGAAACGAATACAACGAGGAAATCAATAATAGAACATGTTTTATCTGCCATGAGTGCTTTGTCGTTCACTTTACAGGGATTTATTCGAAATTAAAATACTGGGATGAACTTTAAAGGAGATGCATCACGAAGGGATAAAATTCCTTTTGTCAATATGTTTTTTAAATATTATCAAGATGTATACGTTTATATAAAAACAAAAAAATGATCAATTACTACGTGATGTACCTGTTGTCAAGAAACATGCATATCTATTTAATCGCAGCGAAAAACGGAATTCGTATGTTTGGCGAAACAAAAGTCCACATGTTGTCATTTTAATGGACCTAGTAGAATATAAACCACCTTGAGTTGATGATTTTTTTTTAACGTCACGCAGTCGGCGAAAATACAATTAATAAACTCGTTATGGTGCAAACGGGCCTATCATACGTTATTTACGGTAAACCGTATAGCTACAATAACTAGTCGTTGTCATTGAGATTTTGTTATGGTGCAGTTTTCAACGACATACCAACAGGATTACCGACGCGTTGCCGAAGACGGTTTTACTCTCGAAACGCGCGTAACGTACGGAAATACGGTTCGTCCTTGAAATGTTTTCTGTGTAGGATGATGCGCGCGAGTGTGTTTTCGTGGGAATCTCGGAGAGACACGTATAACTATAGCCAATCGTTTCGATCTCGTCGAAAATGATCACATCACGGCAGTTTGGGTATTTCTTACGATCTCGTAGATTCACACCGTGTCGTGCTTAGCCGTACCGTGTAATTTTTAAAACAAGTGATATAGAAACTTGCCACGAACGTCTTCTCTGTATACTTAAAATCTTGATTAAATCTTGATTAAACGTACCATGTCATCTTAATACAGGATCTATTAAGATACACATGTACGCACGAATCTGACGGAGTCAACTTTGCGGTGACTGTATGTCATGTAATATGGTCGAATGAATAAAACCCCCGTGGTTCGACCAAATGGACGACAATTATTTTACTAGGGGGGGACGGTGTTTAGTATAAACTCAGTTTTATTAGTAATAGGAAATCTATCGATCAATGGAACCGTAGTAATATGATCGAAAACGATTACGTGAGTGACGTTACCGCAACCTAGTCGTCCAACGCACGCGTGTTCGGGCCTACCGATAAAATTCGCGCGATCATTCATCAAACATTTTTATCATTTATTTGATTTGTTGACGAACTTGAATAACTTTTCAGCAGCCAAATGCAATTATTATTTTCGTTATCTTTCCAAAACCAAAAGTATCGCTTTACCAGACGATCGAATTATCGCATATGAATCGATAAACGATGTGTTACAACACATTTATTAAAAAATAATAAAATGTAATGATAAATAATTTCATAATACGTATAGGCGTACCGAAATCAGCCGGGTTATATGTGGGTTTGCAAACGTGTCCGATTTGGGCAAGGAACGGAACTAACTGTCTGGGTGATCCGTTGTATATGCAAGATCCTCTGGCCAGCATGTATACGTGGTCAAACATGTGGTATAAGGATGAGCTGGGCTGGTGTATGGTGCACACCACGGTCCTTCCTTGTTTAGCGAGATCGACCAACAGGGTAACGCACTGTTTGATCGCTACTATGTCCAGCCCACTGCGGACGAAAATATTGGATTAAAATATGTTTATTATCATAGAGTATTCATTGTAATTCTTTATTTTCGACCTTGACAGTCAAACGTGTTTTAACCATCGATTTTTTACGTAAACATTGGACGCGACCGAGTACAGAGTGTTTAAAAAGTTTTCAAACGTGTTCTATACAGTATGATTTTTTTTTTAAGCAAACGTCCCAACACCGTACTCGGTACGGGTACCTACGTATTTTTGTTTTCAAATGTTTTTGAAATAAAATCAAATTTAATTCTCAATTAGTAGTGTGATTTTTAGTGTAATTTCACAAAAAAAAAAAAAAAATTAAGACTGTACATTTTTTTTAATCCTATGATCCAACCTGTAAAGATGGTTTAAAACCGAATTATACGTACATATCGACTAAGAAAACTCCGATAGTAGTTTTAATATATTTAGAAATATTATTTTCTATATATTTGAAACTAAAACCATAGGTTACTATAGTATAATATAGGTTATTTTTTTATTTAAACTTTTTATTTGTAATTAAATAATGAAAGAAATAGAGTAGATAATATTAAAGGAAAAACGAAGTATTCTTCATAAAAATAAAGAGGGAAGATTTACAATTAAACTAAAAACCGGTATTATATTAAAAAATATAGAATAATATTAAGAGTGATATTATTTTTGTTGGTTCGAAAGAATATTTTAGATATTAATGGGAATATTAAAGGAATTTAAAGGGACAAAAGTCGGCCACAATGTGGTGATAAACTGGAGAAAACGAATAGTAAGTGATCAATGTCACAAACCATAGAATCGTTATGAAGTGAGCAAAGAGGAGATTCATTTAAGGAAAGTTTAAAGGAATGAGAAGGAAGTAGTGTAAGATCAAAGCGGAGACAGAATAATATACTATAAGTTATAGGTGAGTACCATTTAAAAATCGAAAGTTAATATCGTATAATAAGGAAAAGAAATAGGTAGATGTAATTTAGTGTATGCTTATAATTATTATGTTTTCTCAGTAAAAATTTGTATACATTAGAGAAATAATCACCAAATAATTACGGTTTAAATTATTTTTGGATCCATAGTTAACGTATATTATATTTTATGTAATAGTTATCTGACTTAGTAGATAATTTGTTGTATTAAAATTAAAAATTGTATGTAGTTTATATAGAAATAGCAATAACTAACAACATCTAAATACTGTTACACAAAATATGCACAGTATAATTATATAAAATAATATTGATTTTAATTGTTAAGCGTTTGAACGTTATCAATATATGCGATCTTACCAAGTAAACATTTTTTTTTTTTTAAATTTCTTTGGGTTTACAAGTCGCTAGATATTATTCGGGACATTTTTGACGTTTCGGTTTCGGATTATTGCATAGTATAACAACGGACCCCACTGTATACTGACAAACCGTTTAAATTTATATGATATCTCTACGTCTATTATTTGCATATAATTTTTATTATTCAGTAAGACGCGTCCGGACGCTATAGTTCGATTGACTTAACCCATGTCCCATGAAAACAAACAGTAATAATAAGAATTTGCAATATTGAACTCACGTGGTGGGCTCGTCTAGAAATATCACCGGTGGATTGTTGACTAATTCAAGGGCGACAGACAAACGCTTGCGCTGACCTCCGGACAATTTCTCCACGTAAGTGTTACGGCACACCGATACCCCCAATAATTCCAGTACCTCGTTCACCTAAAAAAAATAAATAATGTTTATTTAGATTATATGGCCAAAATAATGATCAGATGTAATTATTGTGAAAATATTATGTTTTAGCTCGTAAAAATTAAAATAGTACTATTAGTGACACTAAGAACAATAACAATAACAACAACAAAAATAACAAGATAAGTAAATATGATAAATCGTTTTGCTCAATCGATGAAATTCAGCAACGTCAGATTATATATTATTATGTTTAAAGGATATTTCGAGGCTATTTCCTGAATTAATTTTCAATAGTATCCAAAGTTCAATATTTATGTTTTGAATTAAATATGTCGAGGATTTCCAGTTATTTATTTTTTAATGTAGTTTATGGCATTGAATAATATCTAGTTTTTAAATGTCCAAAAATAATTAGTAATTTTGAAATATTTTATATAGGTATATCTTATTGTATATTATGTACATTATAGAAGTAATATTAAGTGGTTATTGTTTTAAAGATGAGCGTAAGATAATAAATAAAAATAATCATTGTAGTATGATGAAATTCATTTTATTTAATTTTAAACAGGATACTAAACGTCCAGTAATTATAGCCTTAAGGTGAAAAAAAAAACCATTTTAAATATCACTTTAAATATCACAATTTTATATATTTCCATGATATACAGTTTTAACATTTTGTTGGTGTATGGTTTAAAATAGGTATAAAAATATAATTTTATAATCTCGATTAAATTATTGATATTTTATTATACATACATACATATATATAATTAAGTATTGTTCAATAAAAGGCAAACTTATAAAAATAAATCTAAGCAAAATGTATATTTATTAAAAGTTATAATAACAATAAAAATCGCTAAATATATTACGTTAACTTTTATGTCCTTCTATATAAATTTTAATAACAATTATTTTAAAATTTTTTTAAATTATAAAAAATTTAATTAAAATTTTTTTTTTGTAAAAAAAATGTTAAAAAAAAGTAAAACTCGAATAGAGGATAATTTTTACTTTTTTTGAAAACTGATGAATTCTATTCTATGTAAAATTTCTAACAAATAACTTCTATAAACTCATAAAAATCAAAATGTATAACAACATTTTAACGGTCAAAGTTTATATTATTGATGCTTCATAAAAATCAATAAAAAATTAAAAAGTTACATTTTTAAAATCTGGGAACGATTTTGAGTACGATTAAATTTTAAAATCCAAGGTAAGTTTATTATGAAGACATACACTGAACGAAATAATTAAAGTTATGATAAAAACAATTAAAAGACAAGGTTTAAGTAATTTACAGTAATATTAACGACATAGCACATACCTGTATGAATCAGAAATAATTTATTTTAATTTATGCTCCAGTTGAAATCTAACTGATAATTATATAATCATGTTGCATCAATAAACGTTTTAGTTTAATTATTATTTTACTATTAAGTGAACTTAAAATATTTAACAAAGAAAGATTTCAACTGTTGACAGCATATGCACATATGGAATAAAAACTAGTATAAGTCTGTGATAATCAAAGTTTTTTTTACGCATAATATATATGGTTACATAAATAAAATATTGATGATGAACTAAATTGTATGTGTAATAGTTATAAATTAAAGTTGTAATGATAATACAATAATACCTTCAATGCTATTTTTTCCCAAAAATAATTATTGTAACTTATACAAATGTTTATAGCATAATTTTAGCAGAGTATTTATTGTTGTTATTTAAAAGATATTAGTTTTAATACATTTTTGTTAGATGATTATAACGTATATATAACGTTTTCTCGGAATACATTAATTAAAACGGAGAATAAAGTAAATTGTACAATATATGTATTTAACTATTAGCATGTTATGTATTCAATGTAAGAGTTTAAAATAAAAATAATTGTATTTATTAATTAAAACTGTATACATAAGTTATTGTACATCACTCCAAAATATGATTTACAAAATAAAATTTATGTAAATCGAAAATATTGAAGATTTTTCAATAATAAAGTTGTAATAACTTCTTTTTGCAATCATATCGACAGTAATTCATTTTCAATTGTCTAAATATTCAAGGTCTAGAGTACTTAATTTTAAAGTTCAAATATTTTTCATTGAATAAATTATATTTTTTTTTTCTGGCAAGAAACAATTAGTTTCTAATGTGTTTGTGTTGAAAAACAGTAATTATCATTAGCTTAGTACTAATATGATTTTGTTAATGCACCCGGATATAGAAGTGATAACTGTTAATACAAATATTGGTTTCTACAAATGAACGTTTGAATATAAGTTATTATTTTTGTTATACTTGAAAAGTCAGTAAGATACCGGTTCAAAATGCTTATGATTTGATATGTTGGTTCAGTTATTTATAACGTTAACAACAAATGTAAAGTGTTAGAGCGGAAAAATAAATAAAATTAATTTTAATACATTTAAAATGTTGAATCCAATGATAAATCATCATATTCAGAAAACAAGCGTTTTGAACGTGAAGGTCGGTTAATACGAATTTCAGTATCTACTATAGATTACAGTTAAGATAATAAATAAAAAAAGTGAGCATCAAATTCAGTTATAATAAAACTAGAAATTTTATAGAGTTCCAAACGAAATAAAAATTAAATTAAATTTTAGCCGAAAACAATCAAATCACTAGTATTATCAAAAGAAGTATAACTTTGTTCAAATGTTAAAATTATATTAAAGTTTTGCAGCTTAAGAAAACTATAAAAGTCGAAGAAATTACCAGTATCATTTATGTTAAATTTACAGTAAAAAAGTTTACAGCGTAAAGCTTCTAGAGCAGATTTTGAGATATATTATACGAAATCAGTAATAACGTGAGTTAACATAATTATAAACTATAGATATAATTGTAAAACCCATGTGATTTATACTGAATTCATAAATTTATTTTATACGACATTTTTAGTCTAAATTAATATATTTTGTTTTCATTGCTCATTTAATATTTATTTGAAAATCTATTTGCGTTATTACCTTCGATTACCTTTCCGCCCAATGACACCAATTATTTCAATCTTCTCTAACCGTAGCTGTAAATATTATTCGTTAAAGGTGAACATTTTATACTACACAAACAAAAATGATGACGTAAATAATTATGTTGCCAGAATTTCGTTTATAGCTTTGAATAAAAATCCATGTGTTAATAAATTCAATTACGTTGTAATGTACATTTCATTCATTTTCCAATATTTTATGCACTTGAAATATTTCAATTTTTAAATTTAATTTTGTAACAGCAACTCGTTTTCTTCTTGTGAAATAATAAACTAGTTATAACCCTAACCTATTTATGAAAAGCAAAAATTTATAATATTATTAATATGAATTCATTATAACATACTTTTTCAATATGACATTATGGTTATGTATTGAGTATTTATTTTTTTATTAATCAATGGAAATTTAGGACAGTTGGATGTTTTTGTTACGGTCGAAAGGTAGTTTTATATTGGTTAGCAATTAGGTTAGGTTATGCTTGATACACGTTAGCGGTCTGTTATCTCTGGACCGTCATCCTATCCAGAAAGTAAAACCACCAATAACTATGTGGGTGAAGACACTTTAGCCTTATTTCGTTCACCTCCGACGCCCCTAGTATTGAAGTATTGAAACGTCTTAACGTAGAAAATCAACAATCTATACGATTACATAGAGCAGTTCTCAAACTTTTTTTATCCACAGAGCCCTTATATTTTTAAAAAAAATTTCGAATCCCTAAAAATCAGGAACATCTATTTGAGGCAAAAAAATAGATACATAAAAATGATGTAATAATATTTCATCAAATTCATTAATATTATCATTGGTCGATTTAAAATATAACTTTAAAAAGGCAAAATTATAAATTTTTTGTCGAGAAAAACATTGAACCCAAAATTTTTTAAACTGCTCGGATTTTGTTATTTGCTCTGAAAACTATAGTAATTTTACTTTGTATTGATAGATTAATATAATTTAATTTTGTGAATTTTCTGCATAATATGGATACTCGGTTTAGTTTATACAGGCAATAATTTTATTATAGCGTTATAATATGTATTAATAATTAATACAATTGTGTTTCATCGTAACTATGAGATTATTAAAAGTAATAAAAATCATTAATTTTTAAACTTAAATGGAAATTCGTTATGAGTTTAATTAAATGTATGGAAAAGTTATCCAAAGCAATACAAAAAATATAAATAAATAATATATAATTATATATAACTAGACAACAATCATTTCAGTTTTACCGTGAATTTCAACTCGATCGTGAATGTTTTCAACTACATGTCGAAAAGATCTTTCCCTCAAAGAAAAAATTTCGATTTTGGACAAAGTGAATTCTCTTTTTCCAGGCATTTAAAGACGCTGAAAAATTATGCATATCGAGATTATATTATTCATAATTATTTTGTACTCATACATTTACTTTCTATTAATTCAATTTAATTTTTTTCCAATATTATGACTTCCGTGTGCAAAATAAGAACTTATGGATGCTAAAATATTGACGTTTTTTTAACTAAGTTCGGTTTATATGGCCAACCGCTTAATGTGGACAAATGGGTTTGGTCCCAACATGTTCACATCAAGCGAAATCCACTGTAAATTGTTTGTTCATAATATTATGGAGTAGTTAAAAGGCCTTTATAAAATATCACTATAATTTGATGTAACTACAAAAATTTAATGAGCGCAAACTAAATAAAATAAAATCGTTCATTAGCTGTTGATGACTATTAAATGTCTAACTTGCCTCGAAGGAATGCAATTTTAATTACGGTATATATTAGTGTACCTTTTCTGAAAAATATTCATTAGTTTTATGATTTGAGCACAACAAACACCCTAACATATACCCTTTAAAAATATACGTTTTGTATTGGATAAAATTTTAAAGAGTTTATTTAATTAATTAATTTTTATAATCGTATACCAAAATAATTCATAATTTTATCAATTTCAAATTACACTCTAAAACGGTGTTGATTGAAAGAGAACATAACATTTAGGTTAATAATCGTTTAAAATTATAAATATTTATTATTTCATTTATGAAATTCGTAATTTAATATATTATATATTTTAAGAATATTAAATAGGAATTTTTGAACTCATTTCAAGGTACAGCGAATGCGTTAAAAAAATATATGAATGTTTTTCAACAAGTTATTTCGTTCGATGATTTCAATCTAGAACCTAAAGCTGCATCCACACTAGCGTAACAAAACGATGAACATGTGTTCGCGAACAAGATTCGTGTGTAACAAATGTGCGAACTTGTAACATTCTATCGAACAAATCGGTGATCCGTCAGTTGTCAGTATTTCGACATAAAATCAAAGGATGTTACGCGAACATGTTACCTACAGCCCTTGCAACAAATTCATTATTTATAACATCTAGAATATTTAATTACAATAATCAAGTATTACCAATTCAACTCATATACGTATATACTCAACGATAGATTAAACTACTATGAAGTTATTCAGAAAAGTTATTTAAGTTATGAGGTAATTTATTGGTTAGCTATACGCAAACCTACGCGAACATAGATACGCGAACATACACACATATTTTTTAGTTATTCGGCGAACAGTTTGTCAAACAGTTTAAAGAACAGTTTGTCATTTTGTTACGCTAGTATGGACGTGGCTTAACCTAGAACCGCATTGTAATAAAGATAGAATTGAGTACTGATTTTTCTTAAGAAAAGGGACTGGCAAAAAATCAATTTATTGTTATAAAAGTTTAAAATATATTTTATATTTATGTTGTAGTGAAGGTAATTTTTTTTTCGTGTATACAGGAATTAATATTTATGTAAAAGTTGATAGGATATTTTAATTATATACACCACGGATAGATATCATTATTTTTGATTATTCAGATTCATTATTAATGAACTAAGAAGAGAAGACAAAACGAATTTCAGTTATTTTATAGAGTCTACCTGATGTATAATCATTATTACGCATCATTGGAAAGAAAAATGTTTGTTTTAATACTATTTTTTTATTCTTAGCGTATTCAATGTATATAATCGGATACCGTCTCAATCAAAATGACGAATCGAATGAAAACTAAGTTTTTACGTATTATACAGGTATGTTCTATAAGATAACAACATGCAGGGATCGGATACCTGAAAAAAATCTACTCAAGTGATAGGAAAAAATGGAAAGAGACAACAACTATAATTTAACCAATGTCAGGATTAAGAAAATAGATAAAAAATACAGATATATATATATATATATATATTGTCGATAATATGTTAATTGTTGAAGTTTGTTAAATATTATTATTTATCATGTAAATAACAAGTTTAAAAGCGTTGTCCATTTAAGATAAAATTATGTGCAAAGTCACGGGTCAAGGTTGCAGTAATAAGTTACGTCCTTAAATTGAAACCGGGTATCATAAACATATCAGTACTCGCGAATTTGCAAAAAAAAAAATCATACACTAGATCTAAACACCATTTACACGTTTTCCCATTACCAAATAAGATAGCAGTTTTATATTAGCACTACGTGATAGGTAATCATTTATCGTCGACAAACACGCAGATATAATAACGTAGATAGCGTATACGTGGTACATGTGGTGGTCATGTTGTGTAATCTAGTTATAGATACCAGTTATTTCACCCTTGAGAAAATAACCAATACCACTATACGGAATTTTACGTTTACATCGAAAAATCACATTATCATGTATGGTTACATTTTTCATTATTCATTATTATAATTCGTTATTATTATAAATTAGTTAAATTAAACTTTGGATACTATTATGTCCTCAACATTCCATATTTCTTAGTATGTTTATATTTATCTACTAACGAAATATACCGATTGAAAAAATGAAAACACTAAATTTTAATAACTATGACTATATTGTAAGTCAAAAAATTTAAAAATATATTTATACATATGAAATCTGATTATTAATTTGAACTGCTTTTGGACATTTATCATGTAATTTATCACTGTCCAGTAAAATAACTACAAATAAGTTTAAAGTTATATTATGTTATTATAGGAGGAAAAGTTAATTATGACAATTTTATATAAAATACGAGTGGTGGAAATTTAAGATTATATTGTTGAAAATATTTGATGATTAGAATAAAATTGGTTCTTAGGATGCATTTTAAATAATTTTGCTTAAAATGTGTGTATTCGTGACTCAATTTGGAATAACTTGAACATCTTATACTAGTATTTCCCAACCTATAGGTCGTGACCCATCATTGAGTTTCAATATATTTTTGATAGGTTGCTGTTCGTAAACTAATAACGAAAGAATATCCAAGTTATCAAAATATGATTATATGTATCAAAATTTAGTTTTTGCAGTTTTACGTTAAAGTATATAACAAAATTCATTGAAATAAAATGATTACTAACGTTACTATACTAAAGTATACTAGGTTTTTTTTCTTTTTTTCGAGAGGTATTTACCTAACACAAAGAAATTTTATTGACAATTTTACTATAAAGGTTGGGAGATACTGTCTTATACAGTCCGATTTCATTTTCCAATGGAAATTGCAAATCAATGAATAAATTTGGCTGTGTTATGTAATAGGTACTCATAATATTGAATACTATTAATATCACATATGTCATTTTAGTACAACTGTGCATAGTCATATGCAATTATTTGAAACTGTTGAACGTATTTTTTTCATCAGAAAAAGTGATGAAAGTGAAATAAAAAACTAAAAAATATTTATATGTATGCACTTCGTGATGCGAGTGTAAGTCTTAAGACCAATAGATTTTATGATAGGGTTGGATTCTAATTGAATAATAGATATTTCCTTGACATTAATAATACTTAATAGGACATAAACTTAACTATCGTTCTCATTGAATACATTTAGTATTAAGATGTATAGAAATTAAAATAATGTTATGACAAATCTAATAAATTGAATATTGCACAATTCAGCTGTTACTAAAATTTAATATTGTACGAATAAATAAATGGTTATGAGGAATATAATATATGAAACTATATAATTAGGTTTTGATACTTACAACTTTTTTTTTTGTCTTCTTTAGACAGTTCCCGGCCAATTTTTAATCGCGCTGCATAACTCAACGATTCTATGACTGTAAGTCTGGGTTGCAGCAAGTCTTCTTGCATTATGTAACTAGAGAGTTTTTTAAATAGTTGCATGTTTCTAGGATGTCCATTTGTAAGAATTTGTCCTTTGATATCACTACTCCTAAAAATAATTGAAATAAAAATAAATCATTGTGTATTACGAAAACACGTTTTAAAAATATATATGTATGAGCAAGGACGTCATTTTTATGGGGTAGGAGGGATCAGGGCTTGTAACGACACTGCTAACTGAATAGTGTTAATAATTGGCCCTCCATTAATGCTCTTATGCGCCGTTATAATTAACTAAATAAAAATAAAATATTTTTTTAATTAATATTTAATTTTTTTTTTTATCAGCTTAATTATCAAATTTATCATTTGATAACCACGTCGAATGAAGTGCGTTTCGTTTGAGTAATATTTCATGCCAAATTGCTGCTGACAGGACAAGCGGTGGTGTTATCTACTATTTGGGTGAGATGGTAAAATAGTATTTAAACCTATGTTTAATGAATATAACGTGCTGATGTGAAGCCTCCAACATAATATTTTTATAAATGGCGTCTTATAACTATTTATATTTAAATTTATATTATAACCATTTACTAATCCCGAACATTTTAACGTATTCGTAGCGCGATCCTTTTTTATATTATTTTTGTGATTAATATTATATTATATTTTTTACTGATATAGTGTCAATCCTCTGAATATATAAATATATAAATATATCATTTTATAAGAATTGTAGCGTTTAATTTTGGAGTTAAAATGAATGCCTTTATTTGCCAAATTTCCTTTTTTTTCTCAAAACAGTACTGAAATGGCTTCAGTTGGTTGCTGTGGTTGCTAGTAAGCTTTTAATACATTAAATTACAAGTTATTTGAGAAATACAATGTAATTTCAATTAAGATATAGAGGAGGAGATAATATTTACATATATTTTTATAATATATATATATATATATATATATATATATATATATATATACTTATTATTTTTAAACAGTCAGGTTAAATAATGTTAAAAGTGGCCTCCCTAAAATCTTGCACACCAGGGAAAAAATCAGAAATGATACGCCCTGTGTTAATTTTATTTGCCACTTCTTTTTTTATTTTCGAACAAATTACTACATTATTTTTAATCTATATTATTTCAATGGTAATCTTAGTCTTGAGTTCCTTAAGTTTAATTCGAATACAATTCGTACATTTTATATTATTAACGGGTAAATCTATACAGAATTTTTTGAACAAAATATCCTCAACACCAAAATGGTCACCCTCTTAACACAAATCTGACTTCCTTTCGTATAAATTATGTGGAAGTCCTCAATACTAGTAGCTATTAGTCAACTTAATCTTATAATAAACGGCCACCTGTTCCATTATTATTGGTTGGTCCTTGGTGTGGCGATGAGATGCTATAGAGGAATTATTATGTACATAATTATTTCCTTTTTCTTTAGGAAACGATCGTGCGCAGCTGGCGGCCTATAAAAGTCGATATTCGACAGAACCGCTACATTAAGCGTACTCAATGCAAACGGGAAACTTACACGTATCCAGCGAGAATGTTCATCAGTGAACTTTTCCCTGCACCGGAAGGACCCATTATGGCGGTCAGGTGTCCGGAGCGGAAAAACCCATTTATGCCTTTTAGTATCGTTCTTTGTCCTGAAACATCAAATATGAATTATTTATAATCATCGCGAAACTAAATAATTCGTTTTCTTAAGAATTTGCATTCATTTTTAGAATACGATATCGAAGTTCAAAATTGAAGATATGTAACAAATCAGTCGGAAGTACACTAACAAAAGAGGGTCACGTTCCCAACCCAGCGGCCATGACCAATGTACCTATATATATAATAATCAAACAGTGCCTATCATAAATTTGCATATGAAAATGTCTAGTCATAATTATATTTATCTTAAATAATATAATTTGATTATATTATTTTGTTTAACGTAATTCGATTGTAAAGTATAATTGTTTTAAAGCATGAGTATTTTATATTATAGAATATAGTAAATATGCATTTGGTTCCATTATGAGTCATAAAAAAAAAAAAAAATATTTACCTTTAGAATAAATTGACTTCACATAAAACATAAAAATAAGTAAATATTCTCTGAATAACAATTACATTTTAAAAAATTCTGTCTTTTATGCACTTTGTTTTAAAATTGCCTAAATATACACAAATATAAAATTCAAATCCGAACACTATTTATGACACAATATATTTGTGCATTAAAATGATAAAAATCATAATGGTACAATTAGCTATTAAAACAAATTTAATTATGAACTTAGTTCTATACTACGGTGATATTAAAGTCTTATAATAATATAATCGCACATGCATTAGTCGTGAAATATGATGGTCGTTACTGTTATATTTTGTATCCGATAGGTATATCCAATAAATATTATATTATTAAATCGTTTAAATTAAATACCTAGTGTTCGTAAGTTTGATTAAGAAACGTAAAATTATATCTTAAAAGAACTTATATTTTTTAATTTCTACTATATTATGCACCTGAATACGATTATTAAAATATATTTAAAAAATAATATATAATTACTTTAAAACGAAAAATATAGACCTTTTATAATTTTAATGAAATACGAGTAGATTGACGAATATAAGTTTTCAAATTAGGAATCTTACACAAGAAAAACTAGTTATGTTGTCATTGTTTTTGAATATATTGTCAATGAAAATTACTAAAATTATAGTGAAACTATAGGGAAAATCTTGTTTTCTATTATAATAAAAAACTAGTTTAAGAGTTAAATAATTTAAATCGGAGTACGTTTAGTGTACAAATTCAAATAATGAAAAAAAAAATAATAATATATAATGAAACATATTTTGACCCCTATGTATTTATTCAGCATACACAAATATTTAGTATTAAATAGATCACTCCGTACATGTTCATAAATTAATGTCACGTGCTTCTATATTTAAAATCCAAGACTAAATATTATAGGACATAATTTCCGGACATAAAATGTCTTGCAACTCACGAAAGTAAAAATGTTGACTGGAATATGTTTTAAAACGAAAATTTAATTGAGAATATGTAAACATGTTTTCTGGTCTTTAAATATACTTATACTGAAAAATAACTATTAACACAATAAATATGTAATATAAAATCTTTGCATCGATGAGATGCTTTTTGTATAAATTATATCATTGTATTGTTGAAGGTTAAGGATATCTAAAACAAGTTTTATTCAGCACAACATTATTATTTTTTATTAAAACCACGTACATTTTTACACTGACGTGTAATTTAACGTGAATTTAACATAAAGTTGCTATTCATTTTGTATTGGCATAGGGAGGACACGTATTGAACGAAAAATCTAATAGAGAATATAGTTTATCATTTAAACACTACCGTGGTGCCAATAATTAATTAATCTAATTTTGTGACGTACATTATACGAGTATAATGATAACTATCGATTACTGATAAAAATAGCAATCGACTTCCAAAAAATATGCCAGAAATCTTGTGCGACCGACGTACTTTTGATCAATTAAAATTTTGTTTACTATGAAATTCTTTTGTTTAACGACCACTATATAATATATATTAATTTTAAATTAACAATTATTACGTGGGTGTTTTAATTATTTATATAAAATTGTGTGTACTCGCTTTCTTGCGGTTGTACATGTCAATAAGCTATATGTAACTATATTGTTTTTCTTATTGTTTTTGGTATTGTTTACCGTGAGAAATGTTTCTCTTGAAGTGTGACTAGTTAAAACCAAACATTTTTTATGTTCATTTGGTCCAAATAAGGCCAAAGATTCTGAGCTCAGTAGGTATTCATGTATGGTTACAACAAGACAACGCAACTCTTGGTTACACTTCAAGAGAAACAATCCCTCTGCTGCGTGAGAAGTTCCCGGACAGACTAATCTCGTTGCATGACCAAAGCTACCCACTTCGATATTGAGACTTAAGACCGTGTAATTTTTTCTTAAAGGGATACACCAAGTCACGAGTTTACCAGAACAAAGTTCGAAATGTCTTGGAACTTAAGCAAGAAATTCGTCATATCCTCAACGAACTTGATGGGGCAATGTGTTATCCAGTGATGGTAAATTTTTTGAAAAAAAAACAATTACCTGTAGGGCTAATAGGAAGGGTCATATGTCCGATATTGTTTTTTACTGTAAGACCTTAACTTCTCCTGAAGATAATGATATATTTTTTATGTTTTTTTAAAAAAAATAAATTTAATTTAAAGCAGATTTAAATCCTGCGTTCTTTTTGAAAATTCCTATAGTATACGGCAAGCTTAATTGGAAATAATTTTAGGAAATTGCAATTTAAAAGTTGTATTATACTTCTCGTATGCCTGTGTGGAATGTGGTGGGGAATATAAATTAAATTTGGAAAAGAATGGCAACTTGTAACTTATGTTAAGAATATTGTAAAAGAGATTGTCGGTGAAACTAAGAGTAGTATACCAGAAATCAAGGAATTGTGGTGGTTAGATGAGGAGATTCATTGAGTATTAGCAAATAATAAAAATAATTTTAAGTTATGTCAGAAGAGCAGGAAGAGAGTAATTTGGATAGAGTATAAAAATATATTTAAAATAAACCAACCATGCTATTTGGTTTGGAGTGTTGGGCGGTTAACAGGAGAGTAGAACTGAGTATGAGTGTTGCGGAAATGAGAATGCTTAGATGAATTAATGGATTGACAAGAAAAGGTGGAATAAGAAACGAATATGTGAAAAGCATTATTGGTGTAGTGGACAAGATGAGAGAAAATAGACTGAGATTGTTTGGGCATGTGTGTTTATGCATGAGTGATTATGAAAATAAACTTTGAAAGGAAAAGAGGAAGATGAAAACGAAAAAATAAATAGTTAAATACCGTTGAGGATGATATGAGAGTTGTTCATGTGTACGTAAGGGATGTAGACAATTGAGACGAGAGGTGGTTTTGGACAAGGGCGGCCGACCCCAAATATTTGGGAAAAAGGCGAAGGAGAAGAAGAAGATATTATACTTGCCGTGTGCAGTTAATATAATTGGCTTAAAAAGTAAGAAATATATATTTGTAGTTTATTATAAGTTAATTATTTAACTACTATGTTAACTGTTCAATGAAAACGTTAATTAAAATAATTAAAAATTCAAAGGTTATAATTTAAAATTCGTTTTAGGAAATCAACTTAAAAATACGTTTAGTTTAAAGATCAAAACATTGATCTTTATTAATTTTAAAAACTAAACAAAACAATAGTGGATCATAAAGATTTGTATGATATTTACACAATGAAGCTCTAACATTATAATTTGGATAAAATAGGAATTAATATATATATGTATTGCTATTATTTATTAATCGTAAAATATTAATTATAATTTACTGTTGTATTTAATTAGAAATCGAAATTCATCAAGGATAAAATGTTATTATGTGATCAAAACCTATACGAGTAAAAACCTATAAAATGCATTCAATGTAATTTCTATACATTTTTATAATTATACAAATGACTTACACATTATGATTAATTTTGCTATTTTTTTTTTTTTTTTTTTTTAATTTGTGTAGCTAGTTATAAAAATGGAAATTTACATAAATAAAGTATAAATTTAAAGTAAATATACATGAAATAAATAAATAAATAATTACTCAACCTGGAGTATTATTATACATATTTATAATTGATTGGTTTTGTCATCAAAATATGTATACGAAATCAGTAAAACTGTAATTTATTTTATTTGTGTATTAATTTACGTTTTATTAGTTTATTTTATATACACATAAATGAGTACATTGTATGTTTATTTGTATAGACACAATGGTTGAAACTTTAATAGTACATTATATAAAATAAAATTTAGCCATTGGATAACCATTAAAATCTTAATTTTTAATTTTATATGATTTTCAGAATGTTTTTCTCAAAATTTGTTTGACTCAACAGCTTATAATTATTTTTGAAAATTATTGACAATGGACATAATACATGATTGTGATTTTTACACTAACACATTTCATTCCTGTCGTATATTTATTGTTCAATAAAATTTTTTAGTAGTATTTGGATAGTTGGTAATTGTTTACAAAAATAACGACCTTTTCATTAATTCTGCTATTATAGATCTGACTTACACACCGATATATATGTATTGTTGATTATTGTAATTCAGAAAAATACACGAAAAAAATGATCGATATAATGTTATTGTTACCCGTGTATTTATGGTTTTTAATCAATGTTAATGGTATTCAACGAATACGGGTCATCAGAACATTATTGTTTTGTGACAAACGTTATACGTTTCATCGTAGACACATAGAATTCGAGCGTCATGTACGTATTGTGTTGAATACACTTACCGGGGTATACGTATAGGCTGTAGAGATACATACACACGTGGTGTATGACCACCAGACAAGGTTGAAGAATGATGACTATCGGACGCGTAAATATTAATCGATTAATAATTTTTTGTTTATAGTCGGCTTCACCGTGGCAAATGTGTAAATCGCTATTGTGATCGGCGTATATCATTTTCGTGTTAAAACCGTATTCAGGATTCATTCTTACATTGTATTATAATAATCGAGTGTAATGATTTATATGTTTTTAAGTGCGGTTAAAAATGTTTAAAACGGACCCTGCTTAAGTCGGAAACTTGTATTCAATGGTATCTAATCCCGTCACAAATTATATCATATTCATTTTACTGGATCAGATGTAAATCTGCCTAACACGGAATATTTATCAAGTCTCATGCGATTCCGTTAACGATTGTGTTTATAATATTTTTTAAAATATACGAGTACATAACTTGTATGCATGCTCAAAGGAAAACATGTGTTATTCAATAAAGTACATGACTATAATATAATGTATAAGCGATTGACTTCCAACAGTCTTATTTGTTATCATCTGACTATTGTTTTTGTTTTGATATAACACTGCGTTAAAAATATTATTAGATAATTTTATAAATATTATGGAAATGTCATTGCTACTAGAGTGAGGAAAATAAAAATAATAACCGTACTAATAGAGAGAATATTTTTAAATTTAATAAAACTCAAAGTCGTTCCGGATTAAATTGTTATGAAACTACGACCGTGGTCTGTAATACATCTGACACGTACATTTTTGCCCAGGATACATCCACTAAACGTATACCCGAATATGATTTTTTCGGCTACGACACAACGATAAATACCTGATATATGTACGTGTGATAATATATAACTGAGATTTTATTCTGTTATTATAATGCGCTCGTACGTCATGTCGCTAACGTGATGTAATAACAATAGGTGTTTTTTTGAATTTTTTTTATTGTAGCGTCGAATATATATCTTTATATCTTTGAAATTTCTCGTATTGTTGTCGCTGGTTCACTGGCGGCGTTACGTCTGAAGTTTCTATTGGAATTATCTAATTTTTCGCCACGACACGTACAATACAATATCCATTACGAGAATGTTATAATAATATATTGCGCTAACCGTTTGGTCGACGAGCGCCTAAAATGTAAACGGCAAATGAAATAATGTGTAGACGAAGAGTACTCACCGGCTGTGGTGTTGACGGCGTAAGTCAGATCGTGGAATTCGATGTCGACGGCAGGCCTTTTCGCCTTGTGCGTCAACGTCTTCATCTCGACTCGGGTCGGGATTCTGGTGATCGGGCGGTCTTTGGATACGCTGAACACCCGAGTCCTGGTTGTATCGTTTAGCAGCATTTCCTCTTCGTCCTGATCCTGGTGCCCCTCGTCACCATCATCACCGTCGACTCCTACATCTTGATCGTCAACCATGTCCGCGAACGACACGGTGCTCTTAACGCGGGCCATCGCGGCTTGCTTCTCTTCGGTGGTCATCGCGTTGCGACGTGCAGGATTTCCGTACGAATAATGAGTAACGTTAAACAACAGCGATCGTAAGTTATTTGAAATTCAAAGTTTCACCATGGGACGCGGATTGTGCACCGGACGAAATTCGCGAACCTTATTCATATAAAATATAGCAGATGATTATTATTATTTATTTGTAGCGTGTCTTTTCACTAATATTTTATCCGGACTGATCCGATTATGGCAACAACGATGATACTGCAATGACAATGGTCGAGTATTTCACCGCGGGTCGTGTGTGTACGCCACTCCGTACTCGCGAACAGTATCTGCGCGCGCGTCTGCCAAGTCGCGTTTGAACGGTTAGAATGAACTAGTTTGTTGTCGTTGTCGGCGGCGGCGCGTGCAATTGTTGCTATCCACGAACGCCCCACCGCCGTCGCGATCGTTGTAGTTATTATTATTATTAATTTTTTTTCTACTATTCCATTCCGTCACGGCGGGTGCAATCGTTCACGGAGAATATGAAAAAAAAAACCCGATAGGGTGCACGCGTGGTATAAACACCCAACAAACACCATATGAAAACGTAGAAGGAGAAAAAAAATCAAAAAAAAAAAACGTTCATCATCTCGTAGCATAATAAATAGTTGTAAACACGGCGAGAGACGCGCAATAAACCGTGATCATATCCGTTTCTATTACGTACGATTTCGACGCAGCTCCCGGTAGGAAAAAAATGCAAAAGAATGGACACTTAAACAAAAATATATATATATATATATATACATAAAGAGTAATTATGTTGGACACTAGTAATACTTGATAATACGTACGTTCGATAATAACCATAAGACGCGTGCAACTCCTTCACCATCGTTGGCGATGTATTATTACGAATATTGTTATTACGAGTTTATCGGTGTACCTACCGGTTAGCAGGCGTTAACCGCGCGTAGTAAATATTATAATGTACCTTTACCCATTGCCGTGTTTGAAACTATTGTACGATGCGTATAGGCGTTTGTTTTCCGTACCCAGCGATTTGAGTGCAGTACTTCGTGTGGAAAAAACTGTATGTCGCGTTACCGCTGTTACCACGTTCGCAGTACCACACCGAGTTACCGGCGATACGCAACGTCTTAGGTACCGCGTATACCGATCATGCGATGTTCGAAAAAGAAAAAGGAAAGTACTTTTACCGGACACATTGAATATACACACACACACACACACACTAATGCACGCATATGATTGTTTACCGTGGTCGGTGTATACGAACATAACGTGGTTATTATTTTACGATTCGTGAAGCGTTTTACTGTTATACATACAATGTAATACAATTGTCGACCGTATGATGATATGCGTTTCGACGAAAAACAAAAACAAATGTGATTGGTAAACAGTAAATATTTGTTGCAGTGGTAAACGTATGCGTACGAGGTACAGGTCCATTTTGTAACGTTAAACTATTCTTGAGTAGTACGTTTTGTTATTATTTGTATGTTTTCGTTCTTCACGTAACATCTTCGATAACGTATGCAATATTTATCGTATTCTTAGGTTAAAAAAAAAAAAAAACTAATAAATCCAACGTGAACATTGTTTCGTACGTTTAAATATGGTGGTATAAGTAAACATAATTGTTTTGTGGACCACTTAAAATATTCAAAGTTTTTACTGTGGGAGTAAGTATAACAACCAGTGCCGTATTAAGACATTTTGCACCCCGCCACAAAAAAAAATTGGCGCTCTTTTAAGGGGCCAAATATAGGAGATAGATTCTTATGAAACTTTTAGATATTCTAAAATCAATGCTATTTTTGTGTAGTAGGCATACCACCGTACGCCGCACGCGATAACATAATACACCGTATTATTATAAATAACTTATGTTTATTGACATATCACAACAAATTGGGCAACTAATATTAGATATATTAATAATATTCTGGATCGCTATATTGCTATAAATACATTAATAATATATATTAATAAATTAAATACATTAACATTCATTTATGATACTATTATTAAAAACAAAAAAATAATAATTTCAAAATAATTTTAAAAGTTCAATAATCCACGAGTGAGCAAATTTCCAACCACAAAATTTTAGTGCCCCAAAAAAATGGCGCCCAAAGCAGTTGTAACCAGTGCCCCCTCCTAAATGCGGCCCTGATAACAACGCATTTGAAATGTTTGATTAAACTATTAAAAAATATACATTATATGGTTTATTTTTTTTAGATAATACGACTTCATTTTTAAAACATTACTATCTATAACATTTTACAATAAGTTACAGTTATGGTAAGAATGAGAAAATGTAGAAGTGAATAATGACCAGGTAGTAAATCTCATAATAGAGATACCTAGTGGCTTTACATAAACAATTTTGATTGACAGTTTATACGATTTTTAAGTTACGACAACGGTTCCGCTTGAGTTACCGGGGTAGGATCCGGGTAGTGCTGGTATTGCTAGATCCCTGACGAACTGATTGAGGTTGGAGAGAAGTTTTGCGTGGAAGTATTTGTAGTAAAGAGTGACAGTTTCGTTGACGGAGCCGATTTTAAGGTTAGACTCTAACTGTTAGAGTTTATTGCATTGTTGAAGATATACTTAGGTTCTCTGATAATTATATGACAGCAAATACTTTGAAAACCTTGAATAGTTCTATTGTTCGAAATGTTGGCAGAACCCCATATTACAGGAGGGTAGTTATGGGACCTGAGTGCGGAGGTAACGAAGAAGGTTTCAATTGATTAATTTTAATTTTTCATCTTAGGAACTATTATTCTATCAACCAATAAGAAATGTTATCAATATGTAGTTGTAATTATAAGCTTGCAATAATATGATGTGAAGCTGTTGATAAGAATGCTGTATAGTCTGCGTAAGTTTAAAGGACTATTTTTTCTGATATGGGTATATCTAATATATATATAGTGGGAGGGGGGTGTTTTATCGCTGCTTCGAGGGACCCTAGCAGTAATGTACCAGTAGCACCTTAAATGTGTGACTGTCCAAGATTTTAAAATTAGAATACAGGGGGTGGGAAATACATTTTTTAATTTGTAAATTAGTTCTTCGTGCTGGATGGTATCAAAAGCTTTAGCTACGTCTAAGAATATTCCGGCAATGTATTTTTTTTTCAAAGCGGTTGAAATGATGCCATCGAATCAGTGCAGCTGAGGGGGGTAGTCATAGAGTGATTTCGTGAAAACCAAATTGGAAGTTGGGCATTTTTTTTTTCTTTGTTTATGAAAGAAAGGCGTTTTATTAGTATTTTTCCAAGATTTTACTTAGAACTGGTAGACATATGGGTCACTATGAGGATCGGTTTTCTAGTGGTTTGCTAGGTTTGAGTATTGTAACGATAAATGCGAATTTCTAGGTTATTGGAAAATAAGATAAACGCAGGGTAGAATTATATATTTGAGGAAGATGAATCATTGTTTTATATGGTAGGTTTTTGATTATTTTGTTAGTTATGAAATTGTGACTAGGGGATTTTCTGTTGGCTGGTTTTTTATTTTATCTCTTATTTTAGCTAGTAGGGCTATGAATAGTGGAAAAATGTGTGACTTTATGACCATTTCTAGGTGCAGTGGTGGTGATGAATTTGAGCGTGGGATGAATACTTTTGATAGTTCTTTAGCTAGTGTATCTGCTTTTACCTTGTCAATGACTGTTATTATATAGTTATAAGTTATATGTTTATAGTTCTATCGAGCATGATCCTGCATTGAAAACGGGAAGATCAATGAGTTTTAAACAAATTATTGAGGTAGTGTAAAATGGTGTTTGAAGAAAACCGATATGGTAATAATGATATGTTAAATTATATCTTTGGGGAACTAAAAACAATATTTAATACTTATTTGCGAAAAATCTCGAGTATCTGACCGCGAAATAAGAAAGTATACTATTTACCGGAAGTTGTATGGGAGAACATATATATACATAGTATGATAAAACGACAAGGTTAGATGGTTTGAAACGAATTGGTAATAATGCTAAAATTAATAAAATTATATCGATTCGCACGCATAATGCATAAATATAGCTGAATTAATTACAATTAATATTATTCTTATCAATAAATAATAAGAATTAATGTAGAAAAATTAACACCTGTGTAGATATACGATTAGTAGAATGTCATTAACTTATAACTAGTAATTACTATTGATATATATTAATTATATTGTTACTCATGTGGTCGAATTAAGAAAATGTGTTCAGAACTCTGAGACAATATTCTCGTTTGGTAAGACATAGGTGCATGTCGTGATACTATTTTAATTTCATTAACGGTCTACCATTTAAAATCATTGATATTTCTTATGTTTTATATTTGACTAATAGGGAAAAATAAAAATTCCTTAAAAAAAAATTAAATTCCTCGAATTACTTTAGAATATGAAAATGAATTTTAAAGTTTTTTCAGTTTTTGTTTGTAACAATTTTTTTTTTGCCAATGCGAAGATATATCTCTTTTGATCGAAATTCATGGTAACTTGTGGCAATTAATATAATATTATTTTTTCTTATATACAAAAGATGAATCATATTCGATATTTTCTTAACACTTAATTCGATGGATTGCAAAATCATTTGAAATTACTATAAAATAAGAGTAATATAGCAAGATTTACTATATTAATCATCTAACGATTATATTTTAATACAATCTATGATGAGTAGGTATTTTTATCTGTCATGTGACATTGTTCCGTAGTTGTTTCCCGACTAGTTGTTTTCGATTTTTTCAAATTATTTTTGTTGTTATATTGTTACTATTGTTTTTATTTACATTTTTTAATAAACGATAGCAAAGCTTATAAACATAAATGTGAATCATTCAATTATTTGTTAAAATACTTCTCGTTTTTTTAAAACTATATTGATTAAAAAACGTATTTTGATTAGTATTTATGAATAAACAGTTTACCTGTTATTTGTAGTTATAACATAATAATATAATATAATATTATGGCAACATCCTTCACTAAATAACATTGTTATTTTATTACTAATACAGTGAACGTCTTTTTCCTAAAAAACATAATTTATAATCAAACATTGACCTACAACATATTTTTTTTTTAAATTGAGGTAGAAAGTATTTGGTGTAAGGGTGAATACTCTAGATCAGTAGTCGGCAGCATTTTTGGACTTTTAGGCCACATTCACAAACTAAAAAGGATTCACGGGCTAAACAATACACAAAATTGATATGATATTTAATGACATATCCTAGTTTTGGAATTTAATGTGGGCCATATAAAAAAGACGTGTGGGCCGGATGCGGCTCGCGAGCCGCCGGTTGCTGACCACTGCTCTAGATATTTGTTACGAACAATT